GGACCTTTTGGAGAACACTGCGAGAACAGTTATTTATTTCCATACCACGTTCAGCGTGTACAAACTCTATTTCCCACTAATTATCAACCCCATTTTGCATTTTGTAGTTGGTTTCTACGACAGGTAAATTAGAATCCCAACTTTCCTCGTATTATTTTGGCATCAAACGAGGCAGGATTTACGCGTTGAGGATATTTTAATTATCACAACGTTCACGTTTGGGCAGATTTATAGGAATTTTTGAACTATCGCCGAGGTTAACGGGTGCCGTTTATTGGAGATTTTTAAGAAGAAATTTGCAGGATTTGTTGGAAGAAGTACCGCTTCCTATTCGGGAAAGTATGTGGTTTCGACGTGATGGGGCGCCACCTCATTTTAGCTGTATGGTATGGCAATTTTTAAATGTTCAATTCCCTGAAAGGTGGATCGGATGAGGTGGGGTTCAGCATTGGCCTGGCCGATGTCCCGATTTGAATCCACTTGATTTTTTCTTTTGGCGGCCACATGAAGTCGTTGGTTTATGCCTTAGACAACGAATCCATGAAGTCACCAATATTATTCGTGTGGCTCCAGAAATGCTCCAACGAGTACAGGAGCAATGGAACCATCTTGCCAATGCTTATGTCAGAATGAATTGAATTGAAAGCAAAAATTTCTAGTTTAGAAGGGCAAGTGGTAAATTACAAAAATAAGGACGATGTATAAAACAGAACTATAAAAGGGATTTTCAACGAAAACCAAATTCAAAATTTAAGAGTTAAACCTAAACTGCCCAAACGCTGGAACAATAAAACAATAGAAGAAGACATTAAAACAAAATTTGTCTGTGGAACGTCAGGACACAACTATATCTTCTGAATATAAATTTTCTGTTACCTTCAAGTAGAACCCTATGCCGTAAAATTCAGCACATACCAGGAATTTTACATGAAATTGTTACCTATTTAACAATCAAAATTCAAAATTTTAATGATTAGGAAAGAGATTATTGTTTATTTTTAGGCGAAGTAGCAATCAATCCAGGTAAAGAATACTATCCACGTTCCTCATTACTGTTGGGAAAAACATTAACAAATGTAAATGAAGTCGCTACCCATGTTTTGTTTTTTATATTAGGATGTGTAAGCTTACGATGGAAGCAAATCGTATGTTATCATTTTACTGGGAATTCCACACACGGAGACGCATTATCTAGAATTGCAAAAGAAATTAGAATCTAAAGTACAAAAACGCAGTTCCAAAATTCAATAGTTAACCCAAATGACGAAAGTAGGAATGTTTATTTTGCTGCTGACGCTCCACATGTATATAAAAATGTTCAATGCAACCGGATGTATTTTTCGGCCATTTAATTGTTTGTGGAACATTTCTTAATTATTTCGAGTTACAGAAATTCGATGACCCTGCTTGCTTTTGTAATTTTTTTCATTGTTATTTTAATTAAAAGAAACAACAAATTTTAACTTGTAAGTTTTATTTAACATAGAGGCACATGCATCTATATATTTCTATTGAAATTATTCTATATATCAGAGCAAATATTCATGATGGAAATGTGAGGACGTTGTAAAAACACTGTTTATTATAGAGTAGTAGAGAGAGAAGCTACTAAACATGCTTCAAATTTCTTACCACTGTACGACAGTACTTAGGTACAGAAGGGTGTTCAAAGTTGACTGCAAATTGTGACAATCTCATAAAGTGTAAATCAGTATGATTAGGTATTCCGTATTTTTTTGTTTTACCAGAGATCCCGGTTGCAACTTGTAAGAAGTACTTAACCGCATAACACTTCTTAATAATAATAATAATAATAATATTATTAATAATAATAATAATAATAATAAGCTGTTTTGTTAGGAACATGTCATATTGTTCGTAAGTTTCTTGAACAGTCTGATCATGTCAGTCAGATTAGATTAGCACCAGTAGGTCAGAGTAGTGTAGGTCACTTTTCATGTGATGCGCGGATAAATGGTCGGTAGTTACGCTGGACTTTTGGGGATGGGGTGAGATTAGAGAATAATAGCAGACTAATTTGTATGCTGTAATTCTAGAATCTCTAAAGTTGTTCTGTTAATCTAATCAATGCATATCATTACTTGGTCTTAGTACCCGTAATGATAGAAGTCTTGCCTGAATGCCGGTCATTTCCGGGTCAGTGGTGGGTCTTAAAAATAATAATGTTTATTGCCCAACAGATACAATCCAATTACTGGACAATATTAACTTAACTAGTAGCAAAATAAAATAAAATAAACAACGTAAAATAAAAATGTAAATAAGATTATATTCGTTCCCAAACTAAATTATTATCATACCCACAATTAGAAGCTATCCCTATTATAAACTAAATAAACGAACACATTACAGTTTACTTGGGAGAAAAAAAATATCATCATACAGTTTATCAGCATTACTGCACATATGAACTAACGGTGCCTTTCTTAGCAAATTCGTTCTAGAAATTGGTTGATGAAACGTGGCCATGTAGCGAGACGCAACACGTGGTACATGAAAATTGACTCTTTCCAACAATTCAGGACAATCTATCTTGCCACTTATCAATCTGGATATGAAACGAGCACTATGCTCTTCACGTCGATTCTTTAAACTAACAAATCCATGTTTCTGAAGGAGGTAATTGTAGTCTATGTTTCTTTGAGGATAAAATCCATCAATTTTATACGAAAGATACTTCAAGAAGCGACGCTGTACCTTTTCAACAGCAAGATTATGTATCACATAGCAAGGATACCAGACAACAGAGGCATATTCCATCTTGCTTACCACATACGCAAAATACAGACTTTTTAACAGAAGAGGATCTTGAAAAGTTTTTGATACCCGAAATATAAATCCAAGCATTTTAGATGCTGAGGTGGATATGTTACTGATGTGCTCCACAAATGAAAGGCGCGAATCAAAAAGAACACCAAGATCCTTTACCTCATTCTTCTTGCAAAGAATCCGACCGTTGATGGTATAGTCTGATTTTACCACATTTACTTTCCTACTGAATGTCATTACATAACACTTATCTGCATTTAATAACAACTCGGACTTGTTGCACCAATCTACTAATGTATCAAGGTTCCTTTGGAAGGTTTTAACATCATCACTGTTTGAAATGGGACAGTATAACTTCAAATCGTCACTTCTTCTTAAATATGTACAAGGTACTGTCGAAAATTTCAAAGAAACTATTTGGAACACTACGCTACTGTTTGAAAAAGTAACTTAACCTATAAATTTCTTTTGAAGTTTTTGAAACTAAATCACTAAATTAGATAAAGGCAGCAACCACTATAGTTATTTCATAACTGACCGTCATGTAACAAAGATAGAGACAGAAAATGTCCGTGTCACAACTCTTTTCCAAAATATATCTAGGGACACTACATTTGAGGATTTGATATAGGTATAACTATGGTATAACCGTTGAGTGGCGCCAATGTTGGGAAATCTGGCTTTTTTCCGAAATCAGAAAACAAGGAAATTTAGTAAAAATGAGCGGGCCGGTTAATAACTTAAGGGGGAAATAGCAACATGTATTGTTGTTGCATTGTATTTGCAGTTTCGATAGCGATTTGCAAATTATCGGAGTTTCCAGAATCTCCCCCTAATATAACAGGTCGTGATTAAGGGTACTGTTTTTTTTTTTTCGAAAACCTGTTCTGCATCTTTGAAACAGTTTTTCCGAAAATCATTCAAAGATAAAAAAAATCTTAAAATAACCCAAGGAATAAAACTCCGATTTTTGGCCGCATGTTTAGTAATTTTCTCTATGTATTATATTATTATTTTTATTATTATTATATTATATTTATTGTTACAACCCAAAACGGTAGCTGTATAGCCCCTAGAAAACACAGTATTTATAGAGCTATAGGTAGTTAGTTGCCAGCAGGCTCGTGGAGAAGCAGTGGGTTCTGACTGCGGGGCGTGAGGTGGCTTTAGATTAGGGGAACAACACAAATAAGATTACACAACCGATTTGGTTATAGTGACGTCACACTGGGCGCCACCAGGTTTTTATTAAAATTAAGGAAGATAATTTATAGTAAAAAAAATGGGAAAAAGATAATAGGTTTTTTATAATCCTATTATTAAAGTATTTAAATAAATAAATTAGTGAAATAAAATAAATGAGCAAACTAAGCTAAAAAAAGTAAACTAAGCAAAATAGTCGAATACAAAATAAGCGAAAGCAACGAAAGAAAAGAAATATTTCGGCGTAGAAAATCTACATTTTTATATTTCACAACTTGATGAAAAAAAAATCTTTATGAGACCTCTGTATAAAAATTTGTACTGGTTTAATTGTAAAATAGTTTAAAAAGACGCCTTTAAAATAAAAACATTACTATGCTTAATATGTGAACCTACTTTGTGTATTACCCATTTTCTCCAAAGCGAATCCTTTAATTCTCCTGAAATATCAGTAAGCAAATGGATTTGGAGGCAAATGAAATTATGTACAAATAACTTTACCGCTTCTTTTAACTTTAATACATACGCAGTATATCTGAGCATTCATTTTTAAGGTGACTTCCCTTAATAATGTGTTGTGATTTTTATTCACATTTGAAACCAGTGACGACAATAAGCTAAATGTGGGTGACTGATTCAGTTACAGATTCTTGTAATACTAATTTAAATTACTACAAATTTTCTTATTTGTATATCAAAGAGGAGGCTGCCTGTTTTTACATCGAATTAATCTTTGACCTCGTATATTTGATTAAAGGGACGCTTTATGAATGCTGAATGTGTTCGGGTCCAGACATGATCTTTACCGAACCTACGGCAAACGGTTCAAACCAATCAACAGGGATCTCTAAATTTGGATGCCCTAAGAAACTCGTCCCGGATCTTATTCCGTATTTATTACAAGCAAACAGAATTTTGCTACATCAAGTAAAAACGTTCGGAAATCCGATTACTTCAAAGTGCATTCAAGTGAATACTCGTGTTTGAAAAGTGTACGTAAATGGGATATCGCTCCACTGGAAAATGATTTATTTATGGATATAAATTTACTTAATAATAAAATATAACAGACGATATAATAAAATTTAACGGAAATAGTACAAAATCTTCTTAATGGAATCCTCTTAAGTTTTTTCTTTCCGTTTTCTGTCTTTCTGTTTTCCCCTCTGTGAATTTTTCAGGATCTTGGCCGCAGATTCACCTGTGGCAATTTTAGCTGCGGATGTATCTATGCTATCTCCTGCTTGATCTCCCATCGTTTCAAATGCTGTGTCTGATAAATTGAGGGACAGATGAGATTGTTTTAATGGCACCTCTATCACTTTAATCTCTTCTGGAGGAATCCTATCTTTTACTATTTGCCCCACATTAAGATGTACTGCTTTTTTCTCATTTTCCTCGTCGCATAATTTTTTATCATATTGTCTTTTATGGGCAGCTCTATCTTGCCTCTCTTCTTTATCCTGTGAGATATAAAAGAAATGTAACGAACGGTAAGAGCCTTTTTCATTATCGCATCGTAACGGCCGCGTTAAACTAAATATAAAGATCACAGTTTACGGAATACAAAACAGTTTTTAACATTTAAACGACCTCGGCTAATAAAAACAATAATAACTACCGCATCAATAAAAAGATCGCTCGTACAGCGTATTTTACATAATACTTATATTTGAGAACATCATAATCTTAGTTGTAACACGTTCGATTTCACCAGAAATAAAGGAAACTTTTGTTTTTCATTAGAATTATTCTTACGAAATCCATATCAGTCATATCACATTAGAATCTTTTTGAGAAAATATTGTTTGAAAACTCTATTCCTCTGTACCTCTCTCAATCATTGTTCACAAATAAAAATCGAACTACTTAACAACACAAGGTAAAATAGAAAAGATATTTTATTCTTGTCAAGTTTACATGACAACAGTGAGACTTTCATTGTTGAAGAAAAATTGTAAATTTCATGATACTAAATTTAGAAAGAATTTAAAAACAAATGTTACCTTCAACTTCAGTAAGACTAGAAATGCCACAACCAAGTTTAAATTTTTCCAAATATATCTACTTTTGCAAATTCTCATCGGTTAATTTGTTTAGTACACTGATACTTAGTACTTTTTAAATTATTAATTCCGTCACGTATTTGGTCTTAATTTTACCTATTTCCTCCTTTAGTTTGAACAATTAATTGAATGCAGAATTATAAGATAGCAAAATATTAAACAATCAAAACGGCGAACTTACCACATCCCTGGAGTATCTCCCAGTAAAATAAATTTGTTTCCACACATCCTCCATCATGTCATCAGGTAAGCCATCTGTGTATCTTTTACTTTTACACTTCTTATGCGAATTACATAATTCCCTAGTTCCCGGTTTGGATTCAGTGCACTCTTTATCCTCTACTAGGATGTCATCGGCCCCAGGATGAGGATTCTGCTTCACACACTCCACTTCTCTCATTCGGACGCCAGCTTTAAACTTACACGCATGGCATTTTCCCCATTTCCCGACTTTCCATCTATACAAAATTCAATTATTTAAGTACTATTTTTACCGTATCACAACATCTTTTACTTAGTTTTACACGGTTTCCAGTTGCAACCTACCACCAACATGTCGTGTTCTGGTAGAGATTCACAGAAAGAATCGCTAACAATTCCAGTTTTTTTTTCCACACAATTCCATTTGGCAATGCGATTGCCTCCACCGCAATTAACTGTACAGGTTTCCCAGTCATTTTGCTCCCAATGATACGATGGTGTGTAAGAGGTGTCCAAAGAAGGTTCAGCATATTTGTAACGGTAACCCGGATTGTCCGGGCCGTAGAAAACTACCTGACGAAGAAATTATTTTAGTAAACCTGCTTGTTACCTAACATTGCTTTCAAAATTTGTTTATATTGTCAACACATACTCGTAAGTTATGACACCGACTTTAAAAAAAATCTTCTAAAATGTCTTCTAAAAAATTGTTTGGTTTAGTGCCTTGTCTTTAATTCAGTTATTGAAAAATGAAATATGATAATAATATATATTTACGTGAAAAAAAAAAAAATATAACAACATTTTGGGAAAACATCGATGTGAATAAGATGTAAATGAAAAATAGACAGATAATTTCCGAAACTAACGTATCGATTGTCGGCAAATTTTATATGTATGTATGCAAGAATACCGCGTAGATGGTAAAACGCTAACCAACATTTGTCTGATCATGGGCACTGACAACAGGATGACGTCATCTCCAAAATTTACAGCAGTAAAGTTGTAATAGTTACAACTGATTGCAGTGGAAAGACTAGAAAGAGTAAATTAGTGAACGTCATTTCCTTATTTAGTGTAAGTAAAATAGAAAAATGGTAACAAAAAGTAATCTTTACTTAAAATCTTCCCTTCGAAAATGCATGAGGGAAGGGGTTAACGGCAGGACGTAATCATAACTAGTATAGTTCGTTACATGATCAGAAAACTGGTCTAAAATTATGCTGCCCCTAAACTACAGTGTAACAAATCTCGTTTCTTTGAAAAATTGTAAAATTTGATTTTCTGATTTTTACTTCCTGAGCGTAAGCTTTATCGCTGCATTCATAATTTATATATAGATTGGCTTATACAGAAAAAAATAATTAATGAATTTGTAAAATGTCAGGTATGCTAGACGAATTTGACGTGGTTAGTTAGTTATTAAGTGATTTCATGAATTAATCTCATTAAAAAATTGGTTATCTGCTTTATAAAAATGTCCGGTTGTAAAAGTAATAGTGTAAAGGGTATAAGATTATTTTGTTTAACAAGTGGTGAGAAAAGTATATAAATATATAAAAAAATACTTTATATATAATATTTAATATCTCACCGTCATGTTCTCCAATGCCAAATCCGCATTATTTATTAATCAAATTAATTTTTCATAAATTCACGGTTGTAAATGTAAATAAGAAATAACTATGCATGGAAAAACGATGGCAATCAATTTTTATGATATGATACACCCCGTGCCGATGAAAATGTAAATATCTAACAAAAATTGATCCTTAATTACATTTGATGCAATCTGAATTTTAACTGACGGTTTCTGAAATAGAATTAGTTAATCCGAATTTCAGTGGATGCTTTCTGAAATAGAACTAATTAATCTGAATTACAATTTATATAATCGAAAGTCAACTTCATCTTTTCTAAAATATATACAATTGGAAATGGTGTAGAGCACAATTTCAAGTTGGGTTGTAATGTTTTTAAATTGAATAGCATTGAAAGTTGCAATATTTTAAAGTTGGCGGGTAATTTTGCCCGAAAATGGCGGATGTTTGCGGTAGTTTCTATATGTAGGGACTTTACAGCCCTGCACAACAGAATTAGAAAGGGAGAGAAAAGGCACCCAAGGGAATCACTCAGTTAGTTCTCAACTTTGCCTCAGTAATTATTCCAAACCCTTTTGCCAGCCTTGGCGAATTGTTGCCAATTGGGCTACTTTTAAATTTGTTTGGCGACCAAAATTTTAAAGTTGGCTAGTGGCGATTTTTTGGCGACTTTTATAGTATATTAAGTATTAAGAACGGTAAGGGGTGTTTACTGATCGAAGGCAAAAGTTTGGAGACGGAGCGAAGCGACGTCTCCAATTTGTCTGAGACCAGTAAACCCCCTTAACGTTCGTGATGCTTATACTATTTTTTGTACGACCATCAAAAGATTTGCGTCTTTTTATCAAATTCATAAATTGAAAGAATTTATATCAAACATCGTTTTTTAATTTAAAATTTGTTACTATGGTTTCGATTAATATAAACAACAATTTTAAAAATCAGTTTCCATTTTGACCGCTGTCGATTAGATTTGATCTGGCTTGATTTCAAGTTAATTTTCTTTCCGCGACTATTAGTGAGTGATTTATTTGCTTAAAATATCAATCATGAGTGATTCGGAAAGCGAAAATGTCGAAGTCGAACACGCATGGAATTTAAAATAAAAAAAATCTTGAATGCATGATTACTTACCGTTCAGCTGAACAGTAAGTAATTTACTTACCGTTCGCCTCTTAGTTGTTAGTCGTAGCAACCCGTAAACTGAACTTACTGCTATGGAAACCTATACGGTAAATGATTCAAAAAGCAATGGTCGTACAAAAAAGATCTTTACAAGCGATTAACCATTATTTACAGTTTCTGCTCTGTCACTTGGTTACGTCGCCTGCTGTACATAATCATAATCAGCTAATGCAATTTGATTCGATTTTCGTCGCATTTATTCGGATACTTTCGGCACAATAGCCACTCGTATTGGTCGAACGTAAGCACCGCAAGAAACTTGCATCGGCTACGAACCCGCTTCCGGATGCGGAGTTGTTATAAATGCATGTTAGCAAAACCTGATGCCGAACTTTCTCCCGTTGCCCGTTTGCGTATGCGGAATAGCTATAAATCCAGCTTTAGTATTTCAGAGGCGAAAACGTATACTGCAGAACATAACGTTTTAAAACAGCTTGCCAAAATTAAAAGAATTCCACTATACATATAAAATTTTAGAACAACGGGTTCAGTAAAAAAAAAATTGTGAACATTTTTCTTATTCAAATTTAGGTGTATACTTATAGACTTTAGAAAATAAAGCTGGCTAATTTCTCAAGGCACATTTTATTTATTCTTTTTGCAAACTTTACAAAATTCAGTGTCAAAACGAGCAAATATGCACTGCTAAGCGATCACCCTCGTAGTGGATATTTTAAAATTTAACCACAAAACTGAAAATTCGTGTTTTGTCTTTCTTTCATATCTGACTCTGATACAGAGATATAATTTATTAATAGTGGAACACAGTGGCGGTTCGTGGAGTTTTCTCAAATTTGAAAAGCACTACTTTTTATATCTTTCATTATCTGAATAATTTTTTTTGTCATGCCCACGAAAAGAACACTCGTGCGTTGATAGATAAATAAACTTTTGCATCGATTAGTCTTTTCAAAATTGCCCTATTTTCACCAACTTTCTCGTTATAGTTCTCAATATCCCTCTTATGAGCGGAATCAAAAATAGTAGATGTGATTTTTCATGCCTTTCTATAGCTCTTGACAAATTTTGTAAATTATTATAGCCTGTTTTATCCCAAACGGAAGATTCATCACTTGTGAATAATATACAATTCCAACAGTATAATTTGTTTCTTAAAACCGAAGCCGTTAACTATTTAGTTTTATTATCATTGCGCGGAAACTTATCGTACGGCAGCAATCCCCCAGTTGAAGTAAGGTGTGTTTTACGGCGAGTAGCGGGGACGCTTTGATCTGGTCCACAAGGTCGTAGCCAGTGCGTCTCTAGGAGTGTTAACAGCTAGTAAAAAAACTATTGCTATATTACTATATTACTTCAAATAATAATACTCGGTGCCCTTATTAATTTTTCAACCACAAGACCACAGATCTGTGATCTTGAAATGTTCTATTATGTTAATATAGTCCAAAAGAAAAATATATTTGTAATTAAAGTACTGACGCGGCAGCACTGGCTGGAGCGTCTGAGATATTATTCCGCCCGTTGTTTATTATAATGATTTTCATTAAATGCTCTGTTTTGCTTTCTACCTGTCATTACCATTAATGGGAGTGGTGGTGGTGGTCTCCCCTTTTGTTTTATACCTATCTTTTTATCACAATCAAGCTACTAAATTAATTTTTTAATAGCTAATTTACGTATCTGCACATGAGACTCAATTATTTTCGTTGCTCATTCTCGTTAAGTATAAGTAATATTAATATGCCGATAATACCAACTGTTTTTAACGATCAGAAATAAAATGCAAATAAATGATACAAAAAACACCTTAGACTTTGCGTAGGTACTACGTAAAACCTAAACACCACTCACCACTGAATAGGCAGCACGCGAAACCACCTCAATGTTTTTCCTATTTACACCCGATGGCTCCAATTAATAAGAAAGAGATAAAAATATCCGTGCGACTTGATCTGAAAAGAGATGAACAAGCCGGAAGCTAGCGGCCTGAAGCGGCACCCCGATCAACGTTTTAGCCAATGCAGTACTGAATGACGATGCGTCAAGGTCTACGGTCTCAATAGCAAGATGCATTCTCGGCGGAGGCTAGCTTCTACCGCTGAAGCCAAACGCGGAGTCACAGCATAGATATCAATCAGTAGAGACGGCTCGCCGTTTTTCGTGACCCGTTTTCGTGGGTAGTCGTTCGCATTATGACCGAATGAGGGCGCCCAACTGACGTCTAAAATATTTGAAATTTGGCAGTTTTGTTACAATATTTTTGCCAGTTTTGCTTGTTTAAGACTGCTTTTCCGGTAGAATTGTACAAATAGTATAAAAATGTAATTTTCACAATAAAATGTAAAATCTTTGTGCGCTTTATTCTCTCCCTCGTGTTTGGAATTCTTGGAAAAGATAGTAAACATAACACATTTTTTCTTTAAAAAGTCGTCGCAAACGAACAACAACCGGTGGTTATGAATAAAATAAAAACTGTAACAAATCATCGTGTTTATAAATTAAATATGGACTTTTCTTTTTTCTTATTGCGATTCACGATTATACGATTTGAGCAAACTAGACAGTTTGCAATAAATTGCGTACACGAATCAATTTTTGAAATTGTAAATGAAGTGATACTTTTTAAATTGGGTGGCGACATCTAGGAATAGTTTAGGCAACGACCACCGATGACGGCTTAAAATTCGGGTCAGAAAGAACAAAGGCGCCGACACGAGCTGTCTCTACTGATTGTTTTCTATGCTGTGGCGGAGTGGTGTGAATTATGATTGTAAGGGCGCAAATATAATTTTTTTTTCGACATTTTAACCTGATATATGATGAAAG